CCCCCGCCTGGCCGCTTGTCGGCGGCGGGGGGGCCTTCGCCCTCCTCAGCCGGCCGGGGCCTGCCCTCGCCGGGGGTGCCAAGCTCCTGGAGGCCCCCGTTCCTCTTGAAATACAAACACAAATTTCTCACTTTAGAAAGCTACTTTTTTCTTTTCTTTTCCTTCTTTAGTGCGGGCGTTTTTTAATCACTTTTGTTCTTTATGTGCCCAGCCGCTCTAGCCAGGGCTCCTTTTGCTAGGTGCGCTGTGCAGTCATTAAAACTGTTTTCTGTGTTTTATCCAATAACTAGTTCATTGTAAGTTCAGAAACAATATTGGCTGCTCCCCAGGCTAGACAGTCATGTTCCTTTTTGCCCCTCTTCTCTGGCCCCATAAATCTTGAATCCCTTTTATGCAGTGGCCAAGCCTCAGCAGGAGCTGCCCTCTTGCAGCACGTCCTGGAGGCAGACATGGGGCGCGCTCGCCCCTGGGTACCTCTCTTGCTAGAAAAATGACAACCAAGGGGAGAGGCGACTGGGGTCCATCAAACCCCAAGAGGCTGGAGACTGCTATTTCTCAAAGGCTGAGACTTAGGGGGCATCAGAAGAAGAACAACTACCTTTTCAAACACGCAGCATGAAACTACAGAACTGACTGCCGCAGGAGGGCGGACGCCAGAGTAATAGCTGCGTCCAGAAACCCAGCTACGCAAATTCAACGCCAAAACATTGATCCAGAGCTATTACGTAAACAGATACCAGGAAATCCCTTCCATCTGGCTCAGAAAACTCATCATTGCAAGTTGCTGGAAGGATGTTTCAGGAAAAATGTTGCTATATGCTTGCACTGTTCTCCTACACTTTCCCTAAACTGCTGCTGTGACAAATAGTACACCCTGAGTCTTGCCCGGCAGAGCCGGTGCAAGAGTATTAATTCCTATGGGCTTAGCAAGTGGCCAACATCTTTCACCATTTGGCTCAGCATTCTCCCTACTAGGCCAGTGACTACAAGCTTCTCTGATGTCTGGCCATAGGTCTATGTTGAAAGGCTTTGTACCCACTGCTACCACCCAATGCCAAGTGCGGCAGAAACGCCAGTGCTTTGTCGTTGCTCTATTAGGCTACGGGTAGAAATCAGTGATGGCACATGACTTGCTCGGGACCCATCTTGCTGGCAACATTCCAGAAGGAAAGAGGGATCCAAAACACATTTTCTGAGAAGCCTGATTCCCAGCATACAGACAGCATTTTTACCAGATGGAGCCCTTTGCAAGGCTTAGGGCTTAGTTTCTAGGTCTCAGCTAAGGTACAGAGCTACTTGGACTGAGGCAGTTCAGGACACGCACAGGAGAAGAACAGTAGTTGTCTAGAGTATTTTAAAGGCAAGCAAGGAGGTGCCTGGAGAGATTAGGCAATGCCTGAATTGGGCAGATGTTACCTCACACGATTGGATTTAAGTGCCTACAGCAGGATTTATAAAAAAATGGAGACACCCAAGTGCTATTCTGGATATAGCCTCTGGTATATGCTTTTCTGTTTGTCTGTATGTCTGAGCATGATCTCCAGTATGCAAATAAGAAGAGAAAATCCCTGCTTCCGTTAGCTGATAGTCATAGTTCTACATCAGAAGTTCATGTTCAGTCTTCCCCCTGGAAACCATCTTGACTTTGCCTTATTTTTGTACCTCAGGAGCACCAGATGTGATGCACTTTATTACACTTTTTCCTCTATAGGAACAAGCTTTTGTAGAAAAGACTGTAAATCCAGTTTTAGAAAACCTGTGCAGTGTATAGAGTGAAATGTTCTTCCTAGCATTTGATTTGTTTCAGCTATTTGATATTGTCAAGAGTCTAACAGCCTTCTGAAGTTCTATGCTGAATTGCAAGTCTTGTTAATGAATGCATAGATGCTCACATTAGCAAAATTCTTACCTGGTTCAGGAACTAGAAGAAGAGATAGCCAATTCTGGATTCTGTGGGCTCCCACAAAGCCTATCTCGACCTGCTAACAGCATAGCCAAGTATCTGACCTAAAGAAGTCCTTAGAAGCTGTGCTATGTCTCCAAAGAGTCCTGCAGAAGGCTCTGCAATTTCCACTCAGTAAGAGCAGGTGGGTACCCTCATCCCATCCTATCTAATTACGTGCTCAAGTTTTCAGCTGCACCCATCTGGTTTCCAGGTTCCTTCTAAAAAGCAAAACAACAGGCCTAGAACAAAACGAGACAAAGGAATTTAAAAAAAGAGGAGCCCGCCATCTCTGACTCGCATTGTCAGTGTTCCTATGCATTATCTATGCTATTCCCTGGCTTTTCTACCAAAGCTATGAAGATTACCTGAAAAATTCAGTGGGAACTCACATAAGTATTGCTTCTGGGGACCTCATGAGAGATGATAGGTGATTTTCTTCTTCTAGCGCACTGAGAGGGAAGTCACCCTTGGGACAGATTTATCAGACAAGATCAGTTTCCTGCAACTGCATATACCTGAAGTAATTTTAACTCTTCCCTAGTAACACTTGCGTTTCTCTCTGAGTTTCTCCCTAGGCTTAGAAGAAGCAGCTCCAGCGGTCCCTGCCTTGTGTGCTACTGTAAGACCAAATGTCCTAAACTCTGACCTGAGGTCTTCCTAGGACCCCAAGGCATACAGCCTCTCCGGGTGTGCTAGCTGAGCTCCCATTACACTTCTGACCCTCTTCACTGTGTGTTTGCTTCACAAGTCCTGGCCTGCACCAGATAGAACAGCTGTGTTTCCTGCTTGCCAATTGTGCCAGCAGCAAAAGTAAAATCCCATGAACCTGGCAATAAACAGCTCTTATGAGCATACAGGAAAGGGTTCTGCCTCTCAGTCTGGTTGCAAGAGTATGCTTTTCACTTTTAGTCCAGTTAATCAGCAAATATGAAAAATAAAATCTAGACAAGTAATATCACTTTGCAGCGCAAGCAAAACAATGTGGGGGGACAAGGCTGGCACTGGAGCTACTGGTATTGGCAGACTGTGCTCCAGGATACCCCTTGGGGGGTACTTCTGTGGGGTCAGGACCACGATTCTGCTGTCAGGGTTTCAGTATTGCCCAATGGGTCCGTGATGCAGTAAACGTAACAACCTTTGAACCCCGCTTGCTACAAAGCCATAACTTAGGAAACGAGCAGTATGGTTTTGGTATGAATGGGCTGGGATATGCTGAGCTCCTGTTGCCCTGACTGGCAGTAACATCAGGTCCCTCCTGACAGATTGTCCCAGTATCGTGCACCTCCTCCGTCTGGGTTTTGTGGACAGAAAGGCAACCAGGCAGTTGTTTCAAACAAACTGGCTGCCTCTGAAAGGAGATTTGATATCATCTACCTAGCAAGTGAACGAGCAAAACATTGTAGAAATGAAGATCAGGTACCAATCCATCTGCTAACTTCAGTGGTCAAGGAAGAACCGTGTCTGTGCTGGTGCATGCGTATCCCCATGCAGAAGTGTACACAGGAGCAGGCTGTTGGCAAGGACTTGCAGTAGCCCTGACATACTCCGGATTTTGCAGCTGAAGAGCTGAATGTGTATATTGGCTGTGAAGCAAAGAGGAAAGAGATGAGAGTGTCTCTGTAGGAGCATGGGCCAGGAAAGGTAGAGCCCAGCAAGAGGCCGTATATCTTGTCTTGTAACTTCAATGGCGTTACTTACACATGGGAGCAGAGCAGCAGAAGACAATTTCTGTTCTTCCCAGCTGAGGTATGAGGAACCCAGTCTCGACACCTAGCAGGAAAAAACTTCCAGCAGACTCTTTCACTGCTCTTCTTTTGTGCGTGTTGTGGGGATAACTGTACTGTTTCAAGAACTCTAGTGAATATGGGTTTGTTTGTTTTTTTCATTCTCTCTGTGTTACAAAGAAAACCTATCTCTTGCAGAAATGATTTTGTTTCAGCAGAATGGAACAAGAACCTCACAAGAGGCCAGGAAATGCCTTCTTCAGTTCTACCAGTGACATACTCCTCTAATTGTTACTTACACAATCTTTTGTGCGTTTTACAGAATATACCATACGCCCTACTCTTTTGGTTCTGCTCACTGCCTCCCCTCGTGCACACTCTACCAGTTCTTTATTCTCTTTTTCAGTTTTACAGCACAGCTTGTTGTCTTCCAGCACCTTCCTTCTCAAATTCATCTTCTGTACCAATCTAGGTTTTTTTTTTTTCTTTTTTGGTCTATCTCTGTTAAGTTTCATTGCCTTTTTGCTCTCTTTTCCTCATCCTCCTCCAAACTTTGAGTTTTCAGCTCAGGGTAGGAATGGCCAAAATGTAACTTCAGAGTTTTATTACATGGCCTTTTGCAGCCTGGCATGCAGCATTCAATTTGGAGCGGAGCGTCCTAGCTCTGTTGCATGCCGAGATCTGTTGTCCAGATGAATTAATTCCAGATTATATGTGGGTGTGGGCTTCATCTGGGCAAAATGTGGATACCCTGGTTTAGTCATTATTCTCTGATGAATCTCTTGGTGACAGTCTTTGCCCCTATTGTTCTGAGGTGAGCCCCATGGCAAAAAATGTGAAGGGAAGAAACAAAAGAATATAAAGCAAGGTTACGAAATCAAATTCAGCAAGGCAGGGTTATTGTCCCTCCATTCCGCCTCTTCTGTCCTCCATCTGAGATTGGATTTTGTAGGAAAACACCCGTAGGACAGACATACCAAATCCACTGGACTCTTCAGGCCGGCCGCATCATTTTTCCCAGTCTTGATTCGAATAGTGCTGGCGGCTCCGTAGCACGGTTTGCAGGGTCAGTTCTGATGGGCAACTAGAAATATGAGACCAATCTGTCCCTGGGGCCTGGTGAGCTACAGTCCCACCTAATCTCTCTGGAATATGAGAGGCACTGTGGGATCTACACATCCCAAATTAAACAACAGAGAAAGGGAGGAGGAAGTTATCATCAATTCTTAACATTTTATTTCTTTACTGGGTTAAACAAGGAGCGGAGAAAACCTCTGCCCCAAAATACAACAGAACTGAAAGCGTTACAGGTACAGAGACTATTGAACACAGAGAGTAGTAGGATAATATTTTAATACAACTGAATTATAGCATGGTTTTGTGTTTTTGTTTTTTTGTTTTGTTTTTTGTCAAACCATTTTGGAAAATAAATGTAATAGGAACTAGTGCAAAAAAGTTCTAAACATGAAGCACAGTGTATAAAATGGCATAAGAAAATTGTCCCCTCAAGGACACAGTCACTTTCTTATGACAGAGGGGAGAAAGAGAGAAACAGAAGGAGGGCGGGGAATAGGGAGGGAAGGGTTAGGAAGGCAGAGGAAGAGAAAGCTGGAAAGAAAGAGAAACTGGGCAGGGGGATTAGAAAGAATATCTTGACTTCAGCAGTATGGTTTGTTTTCACCTCACCACCGTGTACTGTAAAAGGACCTTTTGTAGGTCTGAGCTCTGTAACCACCACCATTTCACAAGCACTTGAGAAGGGTTCGGTCATAAACAGCCTTTTTCACATACACGCAAAGCCATCCCACAGGGGCTCAGCCGATTCCTGGGGAGGTTCCCCCTGCACTCTTTTGATATGACAGCTCGCCTGGACCTCGAAGTGCTTGTCCCTCACCATCAGCAAAGGGTCAGAGAGAACTTGCATGATCTTCCAACAGCGTCTCCCGTGCTTTGAATCAAAAACGGCAAAAGGGCAAGGAACACTTTCTTTGGGGCTCTCTTCAATACACTCCCTTCACCTGGTTATTGTTGAAACATGGTATTTGTCTTTCTCCCTTCATACACACACACTTTGTGGTATCCCTGCACCAATGCATTTAATTTCTTCCAATTTAAACTCCTGTGAACATGTGGGAATATCTCTGGATTTGAAGGCTTCCCATAACTGTGATGTCTGAATGTACTGGAAGCTAGAAGAAGTTGGATTCATCTTGGTTTGGAAAAGAAAACAGAGCTTGGTTAGAAGGATGGCTGGGGGCATCCAGCACTGAGTGAGGTCCTAAAGAAAAAGTGATGCTTCCAGACGGCAACACCTCAGCAACAAACCGCCAGTCAGGAACATGCACAAGCAGTTCCCGAGGTGTGCTCTGCCGGACTGAAACAGCCATGGTAAAATAGGAAACGCTCCAATTTGCTTTCACCACAAAGCTGCTCAGCCTACTGCCCCCAAGAAATTGGATGCTGGATACTATTTTAAGTAGAGCTGGTTGGAATGCCTTACAAATTGCTATTCTGTTAGAATCCACTGCCACCAGTTCCAACTGTGAGAAAAACTGTGATTGATTTTTTCATTTTATTTCTTGAAAATGAAAAGTTTTGTGGGAAAGGGCTGTTCCTGATACATTTCTCAATTTGAAAAAAATTGGTCATAATTATCAATATGGCTTGTTTTGACAAGTTTCAGAATAAAAAAAAAAAACATCTGGCTTGAAATGGCTTTTTGTTTTGCAACTCAGGCACATACAGTTCCCAAATAAATACATTTAAAAATGGTAAAACCACCCCCAAATTTATTAAGCCAAACCCTTTTGTGTGTGTGTGTTTTGGAGTTTCAGTTTACAACAAGCAAAGCTGTAGACTTCCTGGTCTGAAAAAGGATCATAATAAAAATCCACAGTTCCAAATGTTAAGGAGACAGGAAGCCGCTCCTGACCTTGTTTCAAATAAATAAACTAGATATACACTAAATAAAACTAAGCTGGAGGTGTTATTTAGTAATTCAGCCCATCTCCTGTCTGTGAGCAGCAAGTCTTACAGGCAGTAAGAGAGCTTATGCTGAGATTTGGCAAAAAGGGAGGGCACCCGAGCTGAGAGCAGCATCTTCAGTGAGGCTAGGAGATTCCTTGCAGCTGAGCTCTGCCACATACATGGCACAGGCACCTGGTCAGGTGGTGTCTGTGTCCTACAGGACTGATTTGCAGTACGACTGGTACTTTGTTCCCGAGGTTGGGATGCATAGGATGAAGTTAATTGGGATATCCAGGGAAAAAGCTGCAAGAGATGCTCATAAAGTACCAAAAAAAAAAAAAAAGAAAAAGAGAAGGAAATATAGCTACTGGATTTTGGAAAAAACCTACAGTGTGACTATTTCCTTGCACAGCTGCTACCGCCTAGCCTAGCAAGAGCTATGGAGAGACATGCTTGCGTTTTGAAGAAGCCAGAGGACCCAGCTACTCCCCTTGCGTTTCCTCCCTGGGGACCCTATGGAACATTTGCTACACTTTATGTGCTAACGACTTAAAGAAATCCCAGAGCAACGCACACCACAATGTTTCTGCTTTCTCCTAAAGGGAATACCAGCAGCGGTCCTGGCTCAGGGAGTTTGACACACGGTTTGTACATCCTGCCTACACATGTTGTTAGGAGATGTGCAGTGGAGCAGGTTAGGCACATAGAGAAACTAAAAACCCAGCAACTTTTAAAAGGAATCATTTTTTTTAGTGTCCCTATTTGAAAATGATTTATCCTTCACATATGGCCACAATATTTCCTGTGCTCCCTTCATCCCAGAAGGGAGCTCGGAAGAGCAGAGCTGAAGGTCCCTTTGAGAACTGCGCCAGATCTAATCCAGCGACATCTTGAAGGCCTGTGACCTGCCTCGCAGGGTCTCAGTGCAGCGCTGTGTGATCTGGCTCAGCAGTGAAACTTCTCCTTCACTTATGTCCAGCACTCCCCACCCAACAAGACCGGTGTCCGGTAGTGACGTGACAACCTGCGCTGGGAGGAGACAGCTACATAGCCTACAAAATCCAAACTTCAAAAGGCCAGAGCAAGTGTGGTCAGATGCACCTGAGACTCAGCCAGTAGCAAGCCCTCAGATGGCAGAGCAATTCCAGGTTTTGAAGGCCTCTCCTTTTCATTCAGCCTTGGGATAGCAGGGTCAGTGCTGGCTACATCAGCTACACGTTTAGAGAGGCCACTGCCTCTCGGTGGGACTTGTGGTTTGGAGCTGTAGGAATGGTATAAAATGCCTGAATTTTCAGCATTCAGGTCCTGATTCTTCACTCCTGCTCAGGGTACAAATAGAGCAGGATGATCGTGGGGTGAGTGAATGGAGAGAGCTTGCAGCGACACCGCTGCTTTGGTGGACAGCTACAAAACCTGTGGCTGCTTCTTGCACTGTGACACAAAGTCCATCAGAGTGCAGCCACACAGCATCCTCTACGTGGCTACAGAGCTTCCAGTCACCCCTTTCGCACTTTAATACCCATTCCCAATATTAAGCCTTTAAATAACAACTCTTCACTAAACAAATCTCCACTACTGTTACAGGCCATCAGCATACAGGCCTGCACAGCTGAACTTCACAGTGTTTCTAACCGTAACGGCAAGCAGCGTTCCTGCCTTCCTCTACCTCCATCCTCCAGCAGAGTACAGGAATGAAAATATTCATCCAGAGAGCCACATAGGACTGAGAACAAAAAGAGCTGCTAAAAAGCTGCTCCCCTGAAATACAGAATAACCAATTCTTGAGCCTGGGAAAAGATGGACCTTTCAGAGCTCCTACAGACCTGCCACTGCCTGGGAGCTCTACTCAAAAGTTTGCCTGAGGGGGAGAACGGGTAATCACGGGTTTGAGTAATTTAGGTACCTCTATTATCCCACTGGAATGCTTAAGAACTGACTTTGTTTGATAGGCTAAAGTAAGTTGTTATTAACATCTTGGCTAAACATTAGAAATTGCCCTCCCTAACCTTTCAAATATGACTTAATAGAGATTTATACTCCTGTGGACAGAAATCCACAAGGCAGCCCAAAAAGGCTATAAAAAATTGTCTGACATATTGCTTAGATTTTTATAGTGATTTCCAAAAAATCTGAGTATATTTCTGTACAACTCCCCTGAATTTGTCTCTATTAATTTCTATATGCATTCCTTTCCAGGGTGGTAGCTAGGTATCATATTATAATTTATTACAAGCTGCTGCATGACTTTTTGAGGGTAGAGACTTAAAGGAAAAGTCTGAACACAAACTAGTGACCACTCCCAGTAGGATTCACGATACAGTATTCCACCAACAGCCACACTCCTTTGCTGTAAATCACCAATCTCCAATTCAAATGCAGCACAAGTAGACCATGCTTGTCAGAAGACGCATACAAAATTTGGGAAGTGCTATCACACTGCTGATGGGGATCCTTCCTTGGGATTAGCAGATATCAAATTTTCTTGCTTTCTCCCCTCCTCCCTCCCCCCCCCAAAAAAAAAAACGTGGGGCAAATGAACTGTCTCCCAGCAATGCCTGGAGTCCTGAGTGGCAGTGAATGAACTGCCCTGACATCTCCTATTGAAGCAGAGCAAAATGTGTTGAACAAAAACCATTTCAAGATGTTTTCTGAGTGTTGCCAAGTTACTCAACATGTTCTGCTTTAGCTGTCAGATGCTTTCAAAGTGATTTCCCTAACTCAGAGCACGAATGGTGAGGGCTCTCCCTGGGAATCTTTTGCCTGGGGCTAGCATGGATCTCTATTTTCATAAGAAAAAGGCTCAACTAATGATTAATCTTCACCAGAGGAAGCAGGGCCTTTCTTTGGGATTTTTCTTCAGTTATTTTTCATTAATTTGTACAACTGGCCGTAACACTAAAGTGCAAAACACAAGACTAACACTCCAGGCAGAACATGGCTACCTTTCCTCTCGCAGCTTTAGCGGCAGAGCCGAGGCCTGGATTCCCCGCGGATGCAGCTGTGGCTGCCTCCTCTCGCATACAACTAGCAACCCGGCCAACGGCACGACGGCCAAGCAACGGGAACGCGCCCAGCAAAGGGGCTTGTGATCTGCTGCAAGGTGACAGCATCAAAGCCAGCACCATCTCTACCAGCTCCCCCCACTCCTTGGACACGCCGCCCAGGGTCTGCTTGCTCCAGAAGGACCGTGAGGAAACACTGCTCTGGGAAGGGGGGTTTTCTCTCAGTGAGGAGAAATCTAGTCAGTAAAGGGAACTTTTGATTTTACAAACCAATCTTTATGCATGGCGTCTTTCTCTGGGGAGAAGAATCCAGATCATTCAACTGAAAAAGAAAGGAATCAGCAGCTGGGCTTTAGGTTATCGCTGTGGAATAAATCCTTTTGGGCTTGGTATTTTCCAAGGTCCCAGGTGGCTGCACCAAGAGCTGCTCTAGAAAGGGCTCCAGGTTCTGGTGTCCACGTTTGCACTGGGGGCGCGATGGGGAGTGGATTGGGAAGTGTACCTGCATGCACTGTGCAAACATGCTCTCTTTTCTCTCCTTATCCCAGGGGCTAATTCACTCCAGGGCTAACAGCAGCATTGTTTTAATAAAAATAATGTCAATGATATTAACTGAGACCATGTTAAAGTCTCCTTTCTGGACTTTTCCCTTGTACAGCAAAGAGGAGCTAATATAAATAGAAGATTATTAAGGTTGTAATGTCAGATCAGAGAGAAGATTTTTATCCGATGGCCTTTTAATGACGGACTGCAACATACACCGCTTCCAGCTGCTCAGTCCTATTCTGTGAACAGCTTAGTCTGGATTCATTTAACTAGATTGGCAAAGTGTTGAATACAGCATATGGTGCCCTAAAACCACAGAACTTATTGACAGCAGCCTAGACTTGCTAAATAAAAGAGCTCCTTCCAAAACCCTTGCTCTGTGAAGACTCAGCACTTTCCTCCCAGTCACACTAGGTAAAAAACACAGGCCTGTGTCTGCCAGCGAGCCTCCATACCGTGCGCATTCGCATTACCCTCTGTGCCAGGAGACAGGGTGCCCTTCACACTGATACAGTGAGTGATTCTTATGTGTGTACCTTGTGGAAAGCTGCAGCTTGGAAAACGTTTGGATCTCCTTTAGTTAGAGTAGAACTGCCCTGCAAAGCTTCCTTGTGTACTGTGTACCTGTATCGTGTTCAGCTGATTAGGCTGATGCAACCACACCGTCTCAGTAATTATACTAAAGACCCAATCTTTGGAACTGTTCAGCTTTCAGATCATTCACTGGGATGTAGTGAGGGATCCCTGCCTCCTGAGATGAAGCTCATCATCTGATATTAGGTATGGTAAAGACATTTCTCATAGCTCTCAGGTTATTCCAGCAAAACTAGGCCAACCTTCCTGAGCTCCTTTTGGTGCACACGCCTGGGTTATTTGACTTCATTCCTTCAAGCTCTGCAGCATTCATTCATCTCTTGACATCACATAGTACATATGCTGGCACAGAAACTCCTTGTGCCATCACATTCAGTGTCATAGGAGACCATACAAGTCCAGACTCTTATTTATGCTAATACATGTGTACATTGCTCTGGTCTCTGGCAGCGCAAGAGAGCTTCAGGGTGGACACAATGACTCTTGCCCCTCAAGGCTCAGATTCGCACTTACAGGATTCATATGATATGGCTTGCACACACGTGGGGCAAAACAGAGAGGCCACAGTGCCATGCTACCTGCGGCAGAGCAGGTTCTGGGTCCTGCGCTGTCTCATCGGAGCAGACTCCACAGCAGACAATGAACAGGGCCAGTGACTCAGGGCCACTTGCTGACGCATCACACTGGGCTATTCCTCTCTCTCTACATGAGTTGCTTAAAGATTGGATTCAGCCTATCTCTGATGCCTGGAATCAGCTTAACTCTTGGCAGTACATGAAAAATCCAATTTCCTTAAGAATGGACTGGATCTGGTTGTCTTGAGACAGGAACATGACTGTGCTACCTCCTTTGGTCTAGCTGTATGCTTTTGCTACTCATCAAAGCAGCTACACTTTAGCAACAGAGCAAACAAAAAAAGTCAGATTCCTATTTGCTAAACTGTTGCATGTACTGGTTCTCAGATCTGTGTAAACTAGACCGAAAATATATGGATGCTGTTATGAATATTCAAACAAGAACAGTCCTACCTGTTCCAGTTAGGAACAGCAATAAAATCTGCTTGGGAAACACTCTCTGCATCTTCTCTGAAAACTAGTTATATTAACCTTACCACATAGTGCCTGATGACCAATGGACAATGAGTTCACAGGCTTTGTATTGGCAGGACTTTGGTAACATGTAACTGATAACGTGTAAACATCACCCCAAAGCTCTGAGATTCAAGTCAAAGCAGAAGTCAAACATTCAGCTGCTTTTCAGAGCATCTTTGGTCTGGAAATGGGCTGGAAGTTTCAGGAAACCAGTCTTCCCCATGAGAGTCCTGGTACTTCCCTTCCAGCCAGGTAGGAAGTAGCTTTTCTCATGGTGCTTTGCTCATTTTTGCTTCACCTCAACAGACCAGAAAACACGAAACATTTTCAGTCCTGAACTTTGCGACTTTTTTGACCCTCACAGGGATCTGGGATTGGTTTGAGATGCAGCAAAATATTCCTCTTTGCTTGGCCCCTGCCTACCAGCAGGACCACAAAAAGGCCAATCTGTGCTCTGCTGTAGGGGATCTGTGAAGAGGCAGTCTAGAAGTAGAAGAAGAGTCACACTTTCTCCTCTACAGGAAATGACCAGGTTTACATCCATACTGTGATTTAGACATTTTGCAGCTGACTGCAACCTGCTTCCCCATCTCCATGTACCTCACCTCACACCACTACCACAGGGTTAAAACACATATTCATCTTTTCCCTCACCCCATATCCAGAATGAACTTTCTTTTCTCTAATATCTGATCCTCAGTTCTTTCTTCATTCCCAGTTTAGTTCATTTTCCTGTTTCCATCCTGGCCTCTCACAGTATCATTCATTCTTGCTAGATTGTACCAACTTGGCACAGTACAATAACGAGCAACTGAGAGAAACAGCCTTGAAAACAGGCCCCACGAGAAGATTACCTGTCCGCAGCAGGATGCACAGTGAAGTATCCCACACGCCACCTTCCAACATTTATTCTGAGTATAGTTCCTAGTGGGTGGATGGAGGATTTGGAAGTCCCATATTAGAGTCGGGATCTCATACCTGTTTGAGGCTGAATATCTGGATAAACTGAGCTCAAAAAAAGTGAGTCAATTTAGGCTGCACCAGACAGCACCTTGCCCATCTGAGTCCAGCTGTCTCAGCAGGACTCCTATAAATTTTTTGATCAGGGAAGTAGCTCTTGATAAAAAGTACTCATAAATACTCTCCTCTCCAGCTGGGGTTCATTATCGCCTGTTCTCTGTGTGGGAGACACTAGATCACAAGCTGGATTTCTCCAGTCCTTCTGCTCAGTCCTTATGCCATCTCCTACATGAATTGTAGCCAAGAAGCATGGAAAGATGCCTTTTGAAGCCTTTTATCCAATTGTTATTATTCTTGAGCCAGCTACAAACTTGAAGTCTCCCTCAGCTTAGCCTGTGCACCACTAGAGTCACATCTCCCTAACTCCTCTGAGACAAACCCTTCCCATGAGGAAAGACAGCAAAAAAGAAAACAAAAAGGGTTAAAGGAAATCATCAGGCTACATTGCAAAGTGGAACATCAGGAACCCTGGGAACATCTTTGCCTGCTCCACCCCATCCTCTCTCCCTCTCCACCTCCCTGTACCAGAGAAGAGTGGGAGAGCCAAGCTGGAGGAAGGAGGTAAAGACCTGACCGAGACGAACCCTGCGCAGGACAGAGAGCGTAGCATAACACTTTCCCATTCCTATACCACAACTCCTCTCAGCAAAAGCATAAGCCTGGGCCGGGCTGTCTGGTCAGGAATGCCATGCTGAAGGATCTGCACTCTTCCACGAAAGACAGGGACTGCCTTTGAGTTGCCTTTTTTTTTTTTCCCCCAGATAGGAGAGAGGCAAGGATTTGGAGAGAGGTGCTGCTTCCGCGCCCTGCCTGGCAACTGGCGAATGCAGGGTGCTGGGCTTTAGACACAGAGGAGGAAAGAAATTGGGGTTAGGCTGATTTTTAAACTCTTGGCATTTAGGTGGCAGGTAAGGTGGGTGCCACATGGCACCCCTGGCAGGCAGCTGGGAGATCTGCGGCAATCCCATCGGGGAGACCTCTTGCGAAGGGACCCCCTCCGTTCTCCCTGCCCCTTTGCTGTACCTTCTCGCGCCGGTGCCCAGCACCTCTACGAGGCTGGACGTGCGGAGCTGCCGGGCTGCTTCTGACCGAACCCTTCTCAAAGCCGAGTCCCGCAGCCCTGTGCGCATTAGAGACTCTTCATCACGGGGATGCCCCGCGGCGAGCAGCTCTTGGGGGTATGTGTGGGGGTGTGTATGTGTGCGTCACCCCCAATCCCGTGCCTCCCATTGGAGGAATAGCATGTGCCCCCCTTAGTGGAAAAAGATCTGGCATTCTTCTTGGAGACCTCCTTTCCCCTCCGTGTCACTCGTCTCGCGTTACGCTCTCATCCACGGCGGGCAGGGCCTCCAAGCTCAGCCCTCCACCGGCCGCCCCGCTGCTGCTGTGCACACTCGAGAAGGACACCATGGTGTGGAGAAGCATTAGGACCAGGATGCACAGTTTGAGTCTGCTGTTGCCGAGGCGAGACCCTGCGGAGACGGGCAGCAGAGATGGCGGGTGGGGCTGGCGGTACTGGTGGTGGTAGTGGTGGTGGTGGTAGAGGTGATAGTGGTTCTGCCGCTGGTGATGGAGGTGAGGGTCGTGGCGGTGGTAATGGAGTGACTCCGACGCTGTGGATTTGGGGGATGTGTTGTAGTTGCTGTCTGGTGGGCGGTCACAGGAGTCCCATTGCACTTCGCAGCACTTGGCCTCCTCGTCGGGCAGCTGGTTCTCTAGCAACCCTGGCAAAACAGGCAGCGGGGAGGGAGGGGGTCAGCGGGCCGCGCCGTGGCGTGGGCCGTGGGGGGGAGCGAGCCCGGCACCTGCCAGCGACGCACCGCGGGCAAGAAGGGTGCAGGCCACCCCTGCGGCAGACGCACGCGGACAGACCGCAGTGCCGCCATGCTTCCCGACCTCCGCTAGCTCCCCAGGCACTGCGCACAGCAGTTCAGTTCAACATCCCGGCCATGCTTTCATCCAGCCTCCTTCAGCCCCGTTAAACGGTTTCTTTAGGTTTCGGTTAGGGGTAGGGTTTTCATTTCCTCTGCTAAGCTGTCAGCCTGTTGTTGGGTCTCTGTTAAATGCTTACATTTCAGCAGTCAGTAAAGTGCTTCATATATTTCCACACTGTACCCGCCTCCTCCTCTCTCTGCCTTCCCCACCCCCTCCCCCCCAAAAAAAAGATTTCCAAATCTGCCATACAGCTTCTAAAGCGCTGTAGGATTCACCAGCGCCAGGCCTGCAGGCACAGGCTCGGCGATCGCCCCCAGCCCATCTCTTGGCGCTTCCTCCACCGCCCAAGGGGTGCAGGGGCCACGCGACCGCTCCTGGGGCGCCTGCCTGCTCCCAGGACCTCCTTACCCGTACAGATGAAGCCAGGCAAACCTCCATAGATCAGCTCGTCATTGTCCGGCAACACAAATGGGCACCTGGTCTGCACCTCCAGGCAGTATTGCTTGCATGGGATCCGGTGTCGGCACTGTTGTTGTGTCACGTTGAAATACTCGGAGCACAGCCAGGCCTTGTAGACAGCCTAAAGGAAGTCACCGAGAGGGAAATGTCACCTCCACAAACACCTGGGCAGCCAAAGCAACACAGAAGCTTGGTTCTGAGCAGGGGTGAAAGGGAAGGAGAGATTTCCTCTTCCCTCACTTAGCTCACTCAAGAAACATTTGTCAATATGTCTGGGTTACTTACTCTATTCATTATTAAAAGAAACCATTAAGGTGTTAGAGACTGTGGAATTCACCTAATGACCTACAACAACCACCAAAGTAAAGCAAATTAACACTATGGACTAATGTCCCCTACAGATGGGCACTGGGGCATCGTAACAGATCACAGCAACTCTTCTGGGACTGGAGGCCCAAGAGCTTTGTTTGTTGCATGAAAAATTTCCTCTTCGAGACCAACTACTGCATTTTCTCTTCCCTGAGATCAGGCCGAGGAGGAACCTCCAGACGGCTAAGCAATACTGTTCGTTGAGTGCGCGTGCAACTTTCAACGCTGCAGTACTCAGCCCCGGCCAGGGACTTGCAGAGACAAACAGGACGGGAGCCCAGGAAGCCAAATGGGACTATGGTGTCTGCCCGTTGCGAGCACCTCTTCAGCAAACCAGTAACCAAGGGAGGAAACGCAGGTACATGCACTTGCGTAAGCCAGGCCAACGTCTGCTGTGCCCAAACTGAGGGGATTCCCGAGCCTTTCGTGTTGGGGTTACCTCTCAGGGTGCTGCACGCTCCGGGGCAGGCTGCGGATTTCATGCTTCCTCTAACGCACTTCGCCCTGGTCACCATCAGCTCTGAACACTGGGTGCTGGGTTGCAAAACAGACTGCAGACTAATCTTTTTTGGCAATTTCCAAAGCTCTCTGACTACTGGAAAAGCCACCCGTCAGAAGCATATGGGCACTGCTGGGACACAGCTAGCTGCTGTGCCGAGCTCTGGTAATGAGAGCACACTGCTGTTACAGACGCCTCGGATTCATCATTTTCTGTCACAGAACAAAGTCTTTTTCATCTTCTGCACCAAACTACCTGGTTCTGGGGGATTCCCAATTCACAGAAATCTTGCACTTTTTCCCATGCCATTTCTTCTGGCTCAAATGGGCAACTCTCATAAGGAATGCTTCATTTTATAGGCAGATTTCGATAGCTACATACACCAAACAATGCTTTACCCACTGCTATAAATGCTCCTGTGGTCTCCCAAAATAGAAAGTTGAACTCACCTTTTAGCTGGTTAGAGCTGCCCTTTGCACAATTTCCAGAAAGAAAAGCTACCTGGTGGCTAGCCTGCAATTTAGGACCAGAGGAGGTGGCATAAACTCTGCCCATCAGGGCTGTCAGCTCTGCTGTCCCTCCTCTCCCCTGGGTCTCGCAGCGCAGGCTGGCTGGCCTGCTCTGCCAGAGACACAACCGCACAGGAGCAGGGCATGGAAAGCCCCTTCATCCGCAGCGGAGAGAGGTGGCCCTTCTCACCAGGAGAAAACACGTTTTGAAGCGCAAACGGAGGAGCGTGGAGGTGGTGTCCTTCTAGCTAAGCCCTGGGGTGGGTTGGCACCTGGTTCGGGGATCGGGCTCTGGGGCTGCCCAGGGAAAGCCCACCGACGGCTCCGCTGGGACTGCGTCTCCGGCATCGTCCTGAGCTTCCGAGAATCACATAGGGGAGAAACAGTTTGTCTTCAAATGATTTAAAAGCGAGATCTCTTGTTTCTTGTGGTGAGCAGTCATTCCTCAGGCTGCAAGAAATCCATGACAGCAGTGGGAAGAAGAGCACCCTCCGCGGCATTTCCAGCTCTTCTATGAATATATCTAGGCACTAGCTACAAAACTGAGGTCACACTAATGACCACATGCAACTTCCTTTGAAATCAACTAGAAAGAACTCCCTGTGAGTCAAAGGGAATAAATTTCCCCCCCTCAGAGCAGTTGGAGTAAACCTCGTGCTGCTCCTTCCAGCTGGATTTTTAATTTTTGGAGGCTTTAAAAACATCTCTTCTTTGTTTCCCCATGTTTTGCATAGATCCTTATCATCATTTGTTTGGACCATGGCAACGTCTCAGGACTAAAGCTGGTTGGGAAATGCTTGGCAAGTTGTTTTCTTATGTCTTTTTTTTTTCCCCCCCCTTGGAAAATGCCAATTTATGAAAATGAGAATTTTCATAGAAGCATGTTAGTTTTGGTGAAACTTTCATCAGAAAAAATTTAATCGGGATCAGGACGCAATACAGGGAGTAAGCATTTCAGAGCAGTTAATAGCGCTGTGGTCAAGGTGTTCAGCCGGGATGTGGGGAATTCAGCTGCAGCTCTGCTTTTTCTTTCTGGCCTGTTGGATGTTAATTATTTAGACAAAGTGGAACAGCTCCAGAGAAGGGACTGACTCTGTAATCAGACTCTGAGGACACAACGGGGAGAGGGAGCTTCGAGGTCTTGTTCTGGATGAGAACCTGCCTGAGCTTATTTCCCCAAGCCGTGGTGGCAGCCCCAGGAGGAAGGGGAGATGGGGGTGAGCAGGGTGTGCTCACCTCCCAGATGCCATCATCACGCTCCTTCCTAAATCCCTTCTCGGACTGCCATGGCCCCAGCAGTCCAAAGCGACTTCTGTATGAGAGGTGCCCCCAAGGTTCCTGCTGGACACGAGCATGGCTCTAGGCGCGTCAAAGTCCTCGTCCAGCCCTGCGGGCTCTTGGCAGTTTGCAGAGCCTCGGAAGCGAGGCCACCACCGTCAGAGCTGCAGCTAGTGCCAGCCAGGCATGGCGAGGTCTGGCCCCGAGCCACCAGGAGAAATCAGGGGCCTGACAAGCCGGCTTGGAGGGACGGTTCCTGCTCTGCTGTTGGGCAACCCTGGGGTCAGCGTTTAAGACGTGCTGGAGGTTTCCCATAGGAGAGATTGCAAATAAGCTCCTACCAGCCTTCCAAATTAGCATGTGCTCCAGCAGCAGGACAAGCTCCCTTGGTGCCATCCAACCACACTGAAAGTCTATTAGCTTGGAGCCTGGGGCTGTGCTACGGGCTGCATTATCCCTTTTGCTGAGCATGAGAGAGAAGCAGCAAATGGATACATGATGCAAAACTGCGCAAGGCATCCCTCTGCCACCAGACACACCAGGGGCAGCAGAAGCTTGTAGGTGAACTGACTCATTACAGCCTTATGGGATCGTTACAGCTGAGCCCGTCAAATTCACTAGCAGAACCGTAACTGCAACTATCCTCTACCCAGCCTGGAGACCAGCCAGCTCCACCTGTACCCTGTGGTACTGAACGCACCAGCAAATCCACAGTCCTCATGTTCCCTCCACCACCGAGCACAGCAGGCTGATATTCACCCCCTTCTTTCCTCTCCTTGGACAAGGAACACATTGCAGGTGAAGCTGTGGGACCAGTCTCATAGACCTGAAGACAAGGTCTGCTCTTCTGCACAACCTGCACTCCAGAGACTGCCACAACTTGAGCTTTAACATGCATCTTCCTTAATAGCCTCTAGTCCCCGGGGGGACAACATGAGCAGCAACAGAGCAGCGGGGAGTCAGGAGGATCCTCCTGAAGAAGGATCACTCAGTGGGGCTGACACATCACACTTAGCAAGTGCGATTAGTTTTTCTCATTAGGGAAATGAGTATCCATCATTGCTCTTCAATGGGACCTTAACAGGACATAAAGGAGGGATAGATATGTCAGTAGATAATGATGCATTACAATAGAGGAGATGGAAAAGCAGAAGATATAAAATGTGCTTCAAACCATCTGCTGACTAGAGAGGACAGAAAGAGCTCTAAGAGCTCTTTAATCCTTAACTAGATGGGATGCATCTTTACTCTGGTCCAGCCTGGCAAGTCCCTGCTTCTGTACAACACTGTACAGCTGTGCGTGTAATCTGGAGAAAAACAGAGAGACCCTCGCCCCAGAGACATGCTCTACAATAGCCATAAAGGGTGGAAAGAGTCAGGGAGGGCCATCCTAAGGATGCCACCAACTGAGATAAGTAGATAAAAACATTCATAAACAACCAGCTCCCCTCTGCTTTGCTCCCCCTCACACACTGTAAGGGTAGCGCGCTGCAACATTTGCTAGCAGTCTCCAGAGCTAACCTCTGGATTACGCCTGCCAGGGCAACCAGGGAACCCCTGTGAGAAATGGACACTATGAGAGAAACCCTTGTTGGCAACCAACTCTAGAAAGAAGCCGTACGAAGGGTCCTCAAACAACAACAGAGCTTCCCTGAGCGTTTTCTGGGAACAAAGCATCCTGCCCTGCTGGGAATTTCTGTATTGGATAGCTCAGGGAAGTTGTATTCTCATTTTGCCCATTAGAGGGCACATGTATCCTGCTGCATCTCACTCCTCCGGAAACCTGCAGGGGCTCCCGCCCTGCTATCAAAGCAGGGGAAGAAGGAAAGGAGCAAACATACAGATGAAAGCAGACCAGGAGGGCAGAGGAACAGCGTGTGCTGCTGCACAGGTTCTGGGCTCAGAACCTGCCCCAGGCACAGCAGGAACAGACCTGCCCTTATCAAAAAGTCCTGTGGAAATCAGTATGAAATACATTTTCCACCAGGTTTTTAGCTCTACTAGAGTTTTAAAACATGCAGGATAGGGTTAATTTACCTAATGTTGATCTTTGCAAAATTAGGGCTTGATCTATGTTATTCAGGCTGCTTTTATAGTCAACAGAGAGAGGGCATCTTGAGGACAATAAATCCCTCCCAAGACAGGTACCCTGACCACCCCAGCCACAGATGGGGCTGGAGGTGCTGCTCTCTTTCTCTGTTGACTGTAGAGGATTTTTGACAGCTAGATTAGATCCCTGAATTTTAAATGGCTGAAGTTGGATGAGATGAATTCTGCCCTAAATTATAAAATTTTCAGGATTAAAACCTGGATATATTAACTAAACCATAAGCAACAGAGCTGGATGCAGAATTCGCTGGGTACAATTCTATGACGCGTGTCAGGCCAGAAATCAGTCTAGAAGATCATGAAGGTCCTTTAGACTTAAAATATCTGTAGCGGAGAAGTTTCAGTGAGATAGA